CGACAATATTAGTAACATGTCTGGTAAATACACTGGAATGCAGAACATTTTGAAAAATAAAAATAATCTTGGGAATTATATTCCGTTCGCAGGCCACTCTCTAAATTTAGTTGGTCAATCAGCTGTAGATTGCTATGTGGTAGCTGTGTCTTTCTTTCAGTTCCTACAGCGCTTGTATTCATTTTTTGTTGCATCAACTCATCATCGGAATATTTTATTACGACACTTTGAGAAAAATCCTGAATGTCTAGTCCCAAAACACCCCTCAGATACCCGGTGGTCTGCCCGAGCTGATGCAACAGAAGCAGTCTTCAGGGGCTACAAACAATTCCAAAGTGCTCTACAAGAGATTGCAGAAGATATTGACCTGAAAGGTCTCACGAAGCACGAAGCTGGCGCTCTTGCAAGTTATATGGACACCATTGACGTTGTTTTCATGTGTGAACTTTGGAAAGACATTTTACATCGTTTCAATTGTTGCAGTAAACTGCTACAAAGTTCAACTATTGAACTAAGCCCGGCCATTGGATTGCTAAAAAGTTTAGACACATATAATATATATATATATATATATATATATATATATATATGTATATTATAAGTTTTATTTATAGATAAATATATAGATAGATTGTCTAGTCTAATTTTATGTATATTTATTATTGGAATTAAAAGAATATTAGTGCTTATATGTCATTGTCATGGTCATGATTTAAAGAGAAGCTTTAGTTGTACGTGCTTGGGCTTGGACGTGTGAAACTACACTACGTTAGCTTAGGCCTACATAAATACATGTATAAGACGTAGGTTAAACTGTGGCCTAGCCTGCTACTTGCAACGTCAGCATTCGTTTACTATTCGTTGGCAAATTTTGATAAGCAAGATCGGAACTGTTTCAGTTTCAGTTTCCATTCCATTTGTTTGTTTTTAAAATTTATTTATTTTAGCAAAGTCACATGAATGCGGTGCTAATATTTTCCGGACACCCCCTTATAAAAATCCATCAGTATTTTTTTCTCTTCTTGTGGAGAGTTTTGCCGGATTCGAAATAGTAGACCTTATTATTATATTGACGTGAAACAAAATCCGTCAAAAGTTGAAGTCCTGGACTTTTTTTTTTTTGGACTGTAAAATACGAATTCATGCTTGTTGATAGTTTTACTAGTAGGCTATATATGAATGTCAAGGCTTTAACGAAACTATTTTTTACCGTCTACCCGTGTAAGACGGCCGCGCATTGTCGAGGAGAAAAGTGGCCTTATAGAAGACAGGTGGCCGTCATACGTAGGACTCGTCAAAATAAAGAAAACAAACCATTTATTTCTGAGGTCCCAACTGAAGGTGGTTGCAGCAAAGATTTTTTTAACCTAGAATCTTTGGTTGCAGGCTTAGGGCCGGTCTGCCGGCTCATAAGTTGTTGTTGTTGTTGTTGTTGTTGTTGTTGTTGTTGTTGTTGTTGTTGTTGTTGTTGTTGTTGTTTTGAAAGGGGGAGAGGATAGGACGGTTTTTGTGGGACTTTTGTTGGCAGTTTTATTAATATTTTTGAAAACTTAAGGTTCTGTGAAAGGTCAAAACAGAACGAAATGTGTCAGACGAGGAGGGCCATATATATGACACAGTAAAGCAAGAAAATGGGTCAGATCGACGCCTCCACTTGACGAACGAGCGACACTTATGTCGCGAGTTTGTGTTTACTTCCATATTGTTGTGGACTGGGTTTACGGACTGAGTTGTGGGCAGGGCTTAGCTTATGACGAAAATATCGCTTCCCTTAGCCTATACCAGCAGCTGAAACTTTATTTTTAGGCCTATAATACACATTACACATAAAGTCACATTGGGTAAACTTGGGAGTGACCTAGGCAATTACCTTGGAGGGACTGACTATAACGACAGGTGAATATAATTTTGACGGCTCCAGGGGAAAGTGCATAATAAAAATAATAAAATAATAAAGCCCGGCCGTCTTAGACAGGTAATTTTGGGGTGTTAATTGATAAAATAGGGTGGGCCACGGGTTGGACAGGTGCCCGTTTTACACATTTAGATTTTATATTTTAAAAAAGCAAGGGGGAAAATGCAGGCCTACAGATGGCCATGTTATACAGGTGGCCGTCATGACAGCTCTTGGTTCGAAGTGTCATAGTCTATAGACCTGTGTGTGTGTGTGTGTGTGTGTGTGTGTGTGTGTGTGTGTGTGTGTGTGTGTGTTT